GTTGCTATGGTTACTCAACAACTATAGTAATTAATTTGTTTTGCTAATTCTACAGTTGCTATGGTAACTCAACAACTATAGTAATAGATTTGTTCAGCTATGTTTACAGTTGCTATGGTAACAACAACTAGTTATTGATTTGTTCTGCTAGTTTTGCAGTTGCTATGGTGACACAATAACTATATAGGTATTGATTTGTTCTGCTAGTTTTGCAGTTGCTATGGTAACACAATAACTATATAGGTATTGATTTGTTCTGCTAGTTTTGCAGTTGCTATGGTGACACAATAACTATACAGTTATTGATTTGTTCTGCTAGTTTTGTAGTTGCTATGGTAACACAATAACTATATAGGTGTTGATTTGTTCTGCTAGTTTTGCAGTTGCTATGGTGACACGATAACTATAGTTGTTGATTTGTTCGGCAAATTTTACAGTTGCTATGGTAACAACCACTATAGTAATTGATTTGTTCTGCTAATTCTACAGTTGCTATGGTAACTCAACAACTATAGTAATAGATTTGTTCAGCTATGTTTACAGTTGCTATGGTAATAACTAGTCATTGATTTGTTCTGCTAGCTTTGCAGTTGCTATGGTTACAACAATAGTAATTGATTTGTTCTGCTAGTTTTGCAGTTGCTATAGTAACACAATAACTATATAGTTATTGATTTGTTTGGCTAGTTTTACAGTTGCTATGGTAAAACAATAACTATAGTAATTGAATTGTTCAGCTAATTTTACAGTTGCTATGGTAACAACTACTATGGTAATTGAGCTTGTGCTTTGCTGCGTTTCGACATGTAGTTAAGTTTTTTAAAAGGTGTGCGTCACCAACCCCGATGGCCATGGCGAGGGCTATGCGTCCACGCATAGGCTGCTCAGTAGCATATGTGTGCGCTTGACGCAGACATAAATCAGCCTTAACACAACAACTATAGTAACGGATTTGTTCGGCTTGTTTTGCAGTTGCTATGGTAACACAACAACTATAGTATTGATTTGTTCAGCTAATTCTACAGTAGGCGAACCAGTGGCTCAGAGGTCAGCACTGTCGCCTCACAGCAAGAAGGTTGCTGGTTCGAGTCCCAGCTGGGTCAGTTGGCATTTCTGTGTGGAGTTTGCATGTTCTCCCCGTGTCGGCGTAGGTTTCCTCCGGGTGCTCCGGTTTCCCCCACAGTCCAAGCACATGTGTTATTGGGGTATTGATGAACTAGGTTGGATGTTGTGTATGAGTGTGAAAAGTCAATTGTAAGATAACACTGTATACTCTTCATTGTATAAATAAATAAATAAATCGTATAAATAAAAAATACATTGTATGTTAATATGTATGTAATATGAAATACACCATAATAAAAAAAACTGTTAACATTTTTAATCCTGCAAAATTGCTTGAAATGTTTAGTCAAAGTTCCTAAAGACACATGTAAATTATAAACTTTAGTCTATTAGCCTACTGGTAAACTTTGCAATGACTTTAGCTACAAACATTGAGACTGTACTAGCAATAGTATCAAAACTCTAAATATCCACCGACCAGGGGTGCACACTTTTAGAGGCAGACCATATAGAAAGTCATTTTTTTATTTATTTTTTGCTCAATATGCATTATACACGGTTTCTTCTTTGCAAATAACTGCAAGTTAGTTCATAAAGATTCAGTTAACGTTGAAAAAAATATTAATCTTACCTCAAGATTGACAGCTATGGCGTCTCTCATGTCAAGAGATGCGGGCATGCGGCCAAAAGTACCAATAGTACAACTCCGGCGGAAGTGAAAGGTTGTGAAATTAATTTTAAATTAAAGATGTTTTTTAAAACGTCAGAAATAAACATTCAGTTGTAATTCGACTGACTTTCTTGCGTTTGTCAAATACACTTTTCAAACTAGCAACTTAGCTTCATTTGCTGAGTCAATCTGTTACTATGGAAATGGAAACGAAATCAGCCGCACGAGCAATCTGCTAGCTACAGCCGCTTAGCAGTTTTTTAGCTATATATAAAGTTTGGTTGAAATGAGTAGATTAAAATATCTCAACACATCCACATAAATACGTTTAATGCAATATAATTAACCGTTAACCCGCGGACAGTTGGTAAAATAGACCAAGTACGCAGTTGTTGCTACAAGGGATACAGCTGCGGCTGGAAGCACCAATCTGTTTAACGTCTACTCCAACCCCAACAGTACTGTAAACTGTTTCGAGCTTTACTCCTATTACCTATTAAATTACCAATTAAATTGTGAATGAATATCTAGCCCTCGAGAGTAATGTAAAAGCAGTAATAACACCGAGTATTGATAACTATCCCTGCTGAAAAATCCAGCTTTAACCAGCCTTGGCTGGTTGGCTGGTTTTAGCTGGTCGACCAGCCTGGATTTAGCCATTTCCAGCCTGGTCTTAGCTGGTCAGGCTGGAAAATAACCAGCTAAAACCAGCTTGACCAGCCTGGTTTAAGCTGGTTTTGGCTGGGCTCCCAGCCTGGCTAGGCT